TATTCTCAGTTTGGTTTGGCAATTCACCATGAAAAGACTCACGCCTGGACAACGCTTGCAAATAGTGCTATTTTATTTCGAAAATAATGGTTCTGTGGGGAATACGTATCGCGCACTACGTCCATTTTATCGTCGACAAAATCGTCCATCAGAGCAGTTCATTCGATTAACCATGGAACGTTTTCGCACCACGTTTACTCTTATTGATAACTCGCATCCCCAGAGACGCCGTAGCTGTAGCTGTAGAGCGTAGCATTGAGGAAGTCCCGAATGAGTCCATCCGCCATCGAGCACAGGAATTGGATCTGTGTCCATCCTTTATGGAAGATTTTGCGGAAGGATCTTGGTTTACGTGCTTACAAAATCCAACTCGTGCAAGAATTGAAGCCAAACGATCATCAAGTCAGGCGTAGATTCGTCGAATGGGCCCAAAACGAGATTGCCGTTGTTCCCGATTTTCATAAGCGAATTTTGTTTAGCGATGAAGCGCACTTATGGTTGAATGGCTACGTCAACAAACAAAACTGCCGCATTTGGAGCGAAGCTAATCCTCAAGTGTATGTCGAAACACCGTTACATCCAGAAAAACTGACTGTTTGTTGCGCTTTATGGGCTCGTGGAATCATTGGTCCGTACTTCTTCAAAAACGATGATGGTCAGAACGTTACAGTCAATTGTGATCGGTATAGAGCTATGATTACTATAACCATATAATAACTATGATGTCCAGGAGATGTGGTTTCAACAAGACGGCGCAACATGTCGTGCCACAATCGATTTATTGAAAGACACGTTTGGTGACCGCTTTCATGTGTTAGACCTGTGAATTGACCTCCAAGATCTTGTGATTTAACACCGCTAGACTACTTTCTGCGGGGCTATGTAAAGTCATTGATCTATGCGGATAAGCCACAACCGCTCGACCATTTGAAAGACAACATTCGCCGTGTTATTGCCGATATACGGCCACAAATATTGGAAAAAGTCATCGAAAATTGGACGTCCAGATTGGACTACATCCGTGCCAGCCGCGGCGGTCATATCGCAGAAATCATATTTAAAATGTAATGCCACAAGATTACCTTTGGGATAAATAAAATTCAGGTCAATGGAATAATCCATCGTGGTTTTATTGCAACTTAAAGTTCTATACATCGAAAAAAACAGCCGTTAGATAGAAAGATATACGGGGCGATTTAAAACCAAAGAGATAATCTAAACTAAACGTAACTAATGCTAATCAATTTTGTGCTACTAACCGAAACAGTTTTTTTAAAAAAAGAAAAATCAATTTTGGTCATTTTTTTATTATATTGTAAGACGTCTCTTTAGCTGATCGCTCAGTTCTTCATTGCATTGTCTATAGTGACTCCATATTGAAGACTCCGTAGTCCAGTTAAAAATAAATGGAAACAAAACGAACATTTTTATTGAAATAGTCAATAATTTAAATACGTATTTTCGAGATTGTACAGGAGGTCAAATTTGAAACAATCAATATCTTGACTGAATTTCTAATATGGATTTCTGACACAGCAATACCCTAAGCGCTACAGTAGACGTCTTAGATTATTTAGACAAAGGTGAGAATTGTTGGTTATGAGATCCTTTTGAACAAGTTGGAGAAAATGGGGTTCCAAGATGTCGCAACTAATTACAACATATCTGTGCGATATAAAACTGTACGTCAGTGTTATGGACGCATAAAGTAAAACTGGGGCAACTAATTATGGATCTGTATTATACTAGGGCCTTTTTGTTCTAAATCTGCAAGTATTAAATATTTGCGGACGATACTGTAATGCTCCTATTGTGGAGAAAATGCGAAACTGTGCGACTTACTGATTTGGCTAACAGTGACTTAACTTACTAATAGGTGTTATCAGAACTATAAAATTACTTTAGAGAGAACGGGTCACTACGACGAAATTAACGATGTGTTCCTCAACGAGGTTCATTCGATCTAGTATTTGGGCTAATGCTAACTATGCAATCTATATTAGTCTATAAAATCATTAATAATTTGGCAAGAATCAAAAGATATCTTAAGTATGCTAAAAGTTCTGCCAATTTCTAGTGTGCTTAAAGTTGGGCAATCTAAATTATTCTATACAATTATTAATAATTTGCAAAAATTTCTTGTATGCTTAAAACTGAGCAATCTAAATTAGTCTATAAAATCATTAATAATTTGCAAGAATCAGATGATATCTCCAATATACTATAGAATCATTTATAATTTACAAGAATCAGGGGATATCTTCAATATGGTAAAAGTTTTGCCAATTTCTTGTATGCTTAAAACTGAGCAATCTAAATTAGCCTATAAAACCATTAGTAATTTACAAAGTCAGAGGATATCTTCAGAATGCTAAAAGTTATGCAAATTTCTACTGTGCTTAAAATTGAGCAATCTAAATTATTCTATAGAATCATTAATAATTTGCAAGAATCAGAGGATATCTTCAATATGCTAAGAGTTTTGCCAATTTCTTGTATGCTTAAAACTGAGCAATCTAAATTAGCCTATAAAACCATTAGTAATTTACAAAGTCAGAGGATATCTTCAGAATGCTAAAAGTTATGCCAATTTCTACTGTGCTTAAAATTGAGCAACCTAAATTATTCTATAGAATCATTAATAATTTGCAAGAATCAGAGGATATCTTCAATATGCTAAAAGTTTTGCCAATTTCTTGTATGCTTGAAACTGAGCAATCTAAATTGGCCTATAAAACCATTAGTAATTTACAAAGTCAGAGGATATCTTCAGAATGCTAAAAGTTATGCCAATTTCTACTGTGCTTAAAATTGAGCAACCTAAATTATTCTATAGAATCATTAATAATTTGCAAGAATCAGAGGATATCTTCAATATGCTAAAATTTTTGCCAATTTCTTGTATGCTTGAAACTGAGCAATCTAAATTAGCCTATAAAACCATTAGTAATTTACAAAGTCAGAGGATATCTTCAGAATGCTAAAAGTTATGCCAATTTCTACTGTGCTTAAAACTGAGCAATCTAAATTAGTCTATAAAATCATTAATAATTTGCAAGAATCAGGGGATATCTTCAGAAGACTAAAATTTTTACCAATTTCTAGTATGCTTAAAACTGAGCAATCTAAATTAGCCTATAAAACCATTAGTAATTTACAAAGTCAGAGGATATCTTCAGAATGCTAAAAGTTATGCCAATTTCTACTGTGCTTAAAATTGAGCAACCTAAATTATTCTATAGAATCATTAATAATTTGCAAGAATCAGAGGATATCTTCAATATGCTAAAAGTTTTGCCAATTTCTTGTATGCTTGAAACTGAGCAATCTAAATTAGCCTATAAAACCATTAGTAATTTACAAAGTCAGAGGATATCTTCAGAATGCTAAAAGTTATGCCAATTTCTACTGTGCTTAAAATTGTGCAACCTAAATTATTCTATAGAATCATTAATAATTTGCAAGAATCAGAGGATATCTTCAATATGCTAAAAGTTTTGCCAATTTCTCGTATGCTTGAAACTGAGCAATCTAAATTAGCCTATAAAACCATTAGTAATTTACAAAGTCAGAGGATATCTTCAGAATGCTAAAAGTTATGCCAATTTCTACTGTGCTTAAAATTGAGCAATCTAAATTTTTCTATAGAATTATTAATATTTTGCAAAAATTTCTTCTATGCTTAAAACTGAGCAATCTAAATTAGTCTATAAAATCATTAATAATTTGCAAGAATCAGGGGATATCTTCAGAAGACTAAAATTTTTACCAATTTCTAGTATGCTTAAAACTGAGCAATCTAAATTTGTCTATAAAATCATTAGTAATTTGCCAAAATCGGAGGATATCTTCAGAATGCTAAAAGTTTTGCCAATTTCTAGTATGCGTAAAATTACGCAATCTAAATTAGTCTAGGAAATTATTAATAACTTGCGAAAATTAAATACATTAGCGAAGTTCATTTCCGTTTTACAAGGAGGGACAACAATATCTATGTAGGTATTGCTATGACAAATCAGGCACCTTTCAAAATCATTCAGCGATGTTAAAAATTTATGTATCTTTAAACTCATTTAAAGGAAAATCAAATGCTTATTACCACTAGTTCCTCTAATAAACAACAACATTCTTCAAGTATTGCCTGGGCGTAGTTCGCTTATATGGAGTCAAAACTCCACATAAGCAAACCGTCATCTGCCAAACGTTATTATTATAAAAACTATTAATGAACGGTTTTTTTAAAAGAAAGCGTAGGTGTTGCAACTTTACAAGGAAAATTAAAATTGATTATTATAAGAAATGATAATAAAACAGAAGTTATATTACAATCTCACCTGAATGCAAAACAATTGCATTGACTTGGTTCGGAAGAACATAAAAATTAATATAATTAATCAAACACTGGATTTTATACAGCATTACAAAAATTTCCCCTTTTTTCTGATTTTTAGTTTTCAAATTACAGATTTTACTTATTTACTTACGCGGTAAATACATTTTCGCTTAACATCGCATTCATTTGAAGCGATTAATTAAAATGCTCAAACGCAGATTTCAAAACAAAAATCCGCCAAAATAATCAAGCGCATTTTGCTCCAAAAAAATTACATCGCTAAAAAATTACATGCACGATTAACAGCAATTTTTAGCTCTTAAAAAATACAGAACTCTTGATGCCCTGGTGGAAGCACGAAAAACGTCAATTTTACGAAATCCGGTGACTCTTTAAAAACAAATTCGGCGTCAATATTTCTTCGCAAATGCGTTTCGAACTATCCAGATTACTTTAAACATTACACGGATAGTTGGCGCGTGAATATTTCGACGCTCCCACCAATACACTCCTCCCCGCCTCCCCACCACCGAACACGGGATCATCCCTCCCTCCGGGCACCCCCGGAGGTCCACGTGTCCTGACCGCCGCTGACGAACATCGCTCTTCTTCAAAGAGCACCGACAACTGCGCCATATACCATATCTCGTTTTGTTACGGACAAGGATTATTACGGCGTGATGATAACCCAAACTCGTCCGTACGTACGTCATTTCCGGGTCCGGATCCGTATCGAAGAATCGTTCCGGAGGATTCTTTAGTACTCGCGCCGAAAGTTTCACTATCGGAGGCGAAAAATTGTGAAGATTATGAGTGGAGACGTTACGATAAAAAGACACAGCGCGCTATCACGTCGGGAGTGAGCGTTAAGAGGATGAATTTGAAGATCCCGCGGCGACTGACATTCGCGCTGCTGCTGTTGATAGTACGGTGAGTTTTTGGTGCCGGAAAAAAAAGCCAAAATTCGATAAATGCGGTTGGTGTTACGTTTATCGGATAATTACGTCCACTGGGATTGAGTTGAAATGCTCATGGGATATTTGGTGTGTGACGTCGGAATTTGATTGTTTGGGTAGTTGGGGGATTCTTTTTTATCCCCAAAAGACTTGGTTTTACCGAAAAATTTTAAATACGCACTCACATAATTTGGCATTTTTTCATCGAAAATAGTTATATTAATATAAAATATAAAATCAAATTGGACAGGCAGTATTAATGGAAAACTGTTTTTTATTTATGAAACTCATTACATTGTTAATTATCATATCTTTCTAAATCTATCTGAAACGATTTCAAAGCTAGGCCTTAACTTTTAGTTTAAATTTAACTTTTGATATTTTTTCAAAAAAGCTCCATCATTTTAAGTTTTTGTTTGTATATTTTTTAATTTAATTTGAATCGTGATTTTCATTGAAATTTTTCTCCCAATTAACTAGACCGTTTAGTTTAGTGGGTAACTTTTTTGTAGATTTTATTTCTCTGCGATCTCAGTTTCGCCACAGAATTTCGTCCACGATAAAGACTTCTCATTTAAGTGGCTAGAGTTGGAATGCACCTAGAGTCTTACATTGTAAAAACGCTGGAAATACTGTAAGTAAGTAAGAATGAATAGGTATTACAAGGGTGATTCGATTACAGAACAAATTACTTTTCGGTCAAGGCAACATAAGTAATTTAATATTATAGAAAACTCCTTTTCAAACTATTCTGTTTCTCCAGGGTGTCTCAAAACAAATGCGAAACAAATATTAAAATTCTCATTGTATCTTTTCTTTTGTAGACATTTTTTTGCCTCCCTGCAACTTTTCCATACAACTTGCAGTTTCCAAATAAAAGAAATAAAAAATTCGTTCTGAAAATAATTTATTAATAATCATTTCTGAAACTAATTGATCTATTTATGTAACAACTATGAAAAAATAGAGTGCGTATGACTGAAAAAAATCACATCAAATAAGCTCGATGCCTAGAGAAAAACAAAAAAACGATTTTTATGTTGAGTGTTGAAACTGAAGTGGTTCCAGGAAATTTCCGTTCGCACGCTCATACATCGAATGCGTATCTACCGTTTCGGCATTAGTGTAATTCGCCGTTATTATTCGTATTTTTTATTCAAACGCCTTAAGAAATCCACTAGCATTTTTTTATCTAATTCTCTTTTTGCTTGAAAAAGGCAAGTACTGTGAACAAATCGCAGGTGACAAAAGTTTCTAAATAAAATAAAAATATTGAAAAAATATTTTTTAACAAGATATGCAGAAAGTGTGATTTGATGATAATAATGTTGCGCGATATGTTCCTGATGGTTATCATTTGGCCCAACGTTTATAAGACAAACTATTGAAAGGTATTTTAAAGGAGGAATTACGCCCTTAAGTTTTGCATTTATTTTGAAAAATACCTAAAGAAATCTTCCTCTTGCTTCATGATCATAATGATTATGAAATTGCTATAACTATATCCATATAACCACCTCATTAAGACTTTAACAAAATGACCAAGTACAAAAGAGATAGATCTCAACACAAGTTATATTAAAATTAGTATGCACAACCTTAAAACTACCAAAATACAATATACTACTAATATTATTAGGAATTGTGTTAAACACTGTAGCGATATTGTAGGTAAAAAATTTCTCAAAAAGGAAGGTCCTACGTTTAGATAGTAGGAAATCACGATGGCAAGTAAAGCATTCTATAAATATTGTATATATATATATATATATATATATATATATATATATATATATATATATATATATATATATATATATATATATATATATATATATATATATATATATATATATATATATATATATATATATATATATATATATATATATATATACAGGGTTTTTCACTTAAAACTCCGCACGCCAATAAGTCCAAAACGAAAAGAAATATTTAATTTATGTAAAAAGTAGTCAAAGTGTGGGGTCAAGTGGATATTTCCTAAAGTTTAAAAAATTCGACGCCTGCAAAGAGCTGGGCGTCGCGACGCGTCGAAAAATTATTCGATTGCAGAGACTTTGGAAATACGCGCATACAAAAGTATATATTATTTAAAAACTTTTTTGTTATTTACTCAAACTTATTTACTTTACCCGTTTCTAAGTTATACCGATTTAAAGTAAACATTTCTTGATTAATAAAAAATGTGATTAACGCTTATTTTTACAAGTATGCCATGAATGTTAGTTACTATGGCAACCATTGTTATCGCAGTTGTTTTAAGTGCAATTACAAACGTAAGTTGTTATTGCTGTATCAAAAACTTGTCACATTTTGTCACAAGAAATATCCAAATTTGTTCGGTTTAAAAAAAACTAAGAATTATTATGTAAAAATGGTGCAATTTAGCAATGAGGAAAAAGTAGACATGTTACTGGTGTTTGGAGAATCCAGATGCAATTGTAGAGAAGCAAAACGAGTTTACGCACGGCGTTATCCGCATAGAAGAGTCCCCGATGCAAAAACCTTTTCAAGTTTATGTAAAAACTTAAGAGAATATGGCAGCTTCATAAAACCTAAAAGAGATAGCAACAGGACGGCTACAAATGATGAAAATACTGCTGCTGTAATTCAGCAGGTTGATAAAAGAAAATACCGGTGTTACCATAAGTTCTTCGTGGAGAATTCTACATAGAAACTCTTTTCACCCGTACAAAAGTAAACTAGTTCATAAACTAGAACCAGGCGATTATGCTAGAAGAATGTATTTCTTAGCGACATTGTCCGATTTGTATAGCCAAGATGCAAATTTTCTCTCGAAAATTTTATGAAGCGACGAAAGTCGATTTCAAAATAATGGAATCGTTAATAGACACAACTGTCGTTTTTGGTCCGAAAACCATCGTTGGATTACAGAAAGAGGTAACCAACGAATTTTTAGTATCAATGTTTGGTGCGGCATATTAAATGGATTCCTTATTGGACCTTACTTTTACGAAGGAACTTTAAATGCAGATCACTATTTAAGATTTCTTCAAACTACACTTCCGGAACTATTAGAAGAAGTGCCTCTTGACACTAGAATGAATATGTGGCTACAGCAGGATGGAGCGCCTGCCCAAATAGTAACGAGGTATTTGAACCGAGAATATCCCAATAGATGGTTTGGTACTAATGGACCGGTAAGGTGGCCGGCGAGGTCCCCGGACATTACACCACCAGATTATTTTCTTTGGGGCTACCTAAAAAACGTTATCTATGAAGAACAAAATTAGTGCAGCGTGTGCCGCTATCGCAAGAAGGACTCTCCTACAAGTGACCCAAGCTCATCTGTTAAAAGTTTTTGATAGTTGTGTTCGAGCAGATGGACATAATTTTGAACAAAATTTTTGAAATGTCTTATTATGTAGTTAATTGCAATAATAATTTTGGTTATTAACTTGTAGGTATTTTACTGTTTTTTCATTTATTTATCATGTTATCAGAACTAAATCGATAAAAAATAATAAATAAAATCATACTAAAATAGTTTAAATCTATTGTTTGTAATTGCATTTAAGACAACTGCGATAACAATGGTTGCCATAGTAACTAACATTCATGGCATACTTGTAAAAATACTGTTGTATTCGCGTATTTCCAAAGTCTCTGCAATCGAATAATTCGCGAATAAGTCGCGACGCCCAACTCTTTGCAGGCGTCGAATTTTTTAAACTTTACGAAATATCTACTTGACCCCACACTTTGACTACTTTTTACATAAATTAAATATTTCTTTTCATATATATATATATATATATATATATATATATATATATATATATATATATATATATATATATATATATATATATATATACATATATGTAGCAATCAACTTCCGACAATATTCCGTAATAATAAAGCTTAGCTTACTGCATTACCGCTAAACCGTTTAAATATCTCAAATTACTTGAAATGACCAGATAATTAGCAGTACGGTAAAAAACATCGAGGTATGAAGATTTAATTTTTTCGCCAAGGCTCATTTAACCTCCGGGTAATATAATCTTTCCCGGCAGAAAAATATGCGAAAAACATGAGCGTTAAATATTTTATAACCTATTAAAGTTAGGTGAAGTGTATCGCATTCCGGACATTAATGAAAGTCTTTCCAAATAGTCCATCCGACAAGTTATTTTAACTATTTAAACAAATAAAGTTGGTTTAAATTTTATGCCGCTGGTTTTTTCCACCTACGATAAAAATTCTTAAAGCCCCAATTAAATGCTTAGAATATTGACAAAATATCCAAAAAGGCAAACCTTCAAACAGTATTTGGGTTTTGCTTTATTCAAAATGGTTTTGTCATATAGATATTTCGTGCAAGTATTATAATATATGTAACTATTATTATAATCTAATAAATAATAAATACACACACACTGTCTCTTAAGTGTGACTTTGATTGCAACAAAAAATAACCAGGTATTAGAGTAATACACTAGTGAAATCCGCAGCAAAATGTATATAAATTTACTATTAAAATATGAAAAATGTTTAGTGCTTATTCCCAGAAGATTGAATATTGCAATGCAACAATTTAGTATAATAATATAACAAACTAATAAAATATTGTATAATAATTAATAAAATTACTCCATCGCATAAATTAAAACAATTAATGGTTGAAATGACTTGTAATTCTGGTTTCCAAAACACGCCTGACAAATTAAATATAATTTTTGTATTTTCACAGTAAATAGCAAAACGCCATCTAGCGGCAACACAAGCAATCGAAATCAATCTCTTCAGAGCAACGTTGAGCAAGAAGCAGAGAGTCCCTGTCAACAATTTCAACTTTGAAGTTATTGACATTTATTTCCGAAAATGGTCGAACACCCCACAGCACTTTCCTTTAAGAGATAGTGGAAAAACACATAACAAAATAATTGCGTTGATTCCATCTCTACAACGGCTTCATTTTGATCTATGTGCAATATAGTATAATTTATTTATACTTGAAGGACACGATTACGCCCCCTGGGGACTATCCGAGAATATATTGAATGTTTTTCATCATCTTTTGATAAGTTTTTTCACCCCAGTTCTTTACGACAGTTATTTTTCACAGTTGAGTAGGATAAGTCTCTGAGAATCCCACATTGATTTGAATTATTGGAAAAACAGCTTGTTAAGTTTTTTGGTTTAGGAGCAATCGGATGATTTCGAAGTTTTTACAGCACGTTTGAATTTTAACATTTTTCAATTCATGCACCCAAAAACTGACGGTCGTCGAAAAAATATAGACACGTTTAAGTTATGGTAATTGTTCACCAAATCCAGGAAGTATTATCTATAGTGCATTTAAGAGCAGTCTAGATTAACAAAATGGAAAATTCCGTTCAATTCCGCTCAGAATTTGTACCTGTCAACTGGATTGATGGTGCCTTCAGCGAACGGGGAAGGGCCTTACTATAGCCCGGTATACATTGAATTAAACTCCAATTTAACGAAATGTGCTTTACTTACGAAGACGATAGCTTCTTAAATGATTTCAGAATTGCAAGATCAAAGCTTTCACCACAAAGCCACCACCAAGCAATTCAGTCGACCCTTTACCCTTCACTCGTCGACCCCACCTTCTGTAGAACGGTGCCCGGCTTGACCAAGCACCAAATCGAGTTGTGCTACCAACAGCCGGACGCCACTCTGCAGGCTCTTCAAGGACTAAATCAAGCAGTGAAGGAGTGTCAGCATCAGTTCCAAGGCTACAGATGGAATTGTTCATCGCTGAGCACCAAAGGGAGAAACCCTTACATCAGCGCCATGTTCCAGAGGGGTGAGTTGACCTTCTAGGTGAATCTAATCGCAGACAGTGTTTGTGCAGACGCCATACTTGTCAGAAACGACAACAAATAATGATGAATAATTACAAACCGCTAATGGAAAAAACTGTTTCGGTTTATCACTGGGGCGAGCATCAAAAATACATTAAGCGTTTACGTGGAAGGTCGTAAACACCATAATTTGCATACATAAACATAATAATTAAAAGAAAAGATTCATCTCTTTAAGCTAAATTTAAATTTCCATTTCGTAGTTCTCTCGTGTCCATAGACGCGTAAAATAATAACATTGTTTTGTACGCATTGTCAACGACTAAACGATACGGCGATAATTGAGACTTTTACAATGTTAAAATTGATACAGTAATCAAATTTTGATTCGGATTTATACCGCAGCCGGTTGCCGATTAAATGGGATATTAAACCCACTAAAAGCATCCGCCGATGCTTTTAACGCTGAATAATTTAACGTTCAATTTACGCGTCTTGTAGACCATCAGACGGTTTATTGCCGGGTCATAACAACGCGATGACAATAACTCCCTTGGTGACCAATCCGACCGTGATCCATTTTTTATGTCGTCGATGGCCTTTCGCTACCATTTTTTACAATTTTTATAATTGCGAAATAACCAGGAATAACAACGTTAAAAGTAATTTAGGACCTTTTGGACCTTTTATGCAAAAAGCTACTATGAACCAACATTACATGAAAAAATTAGATAAACGTGTAATCTGCTCCATAATTTTCCATCTTCTTCTTCTTCATGTCGCTGCTCCGAAAAGATCTGAAGAAGACATGTTAAACCAGATTCCGCAGCCAGGATATTCTTCTTCTTCCAATTGATCTTCTGCCAACAACCTTTCCCTGGATTATCAAGTGAAGCAGCTCATACTTTGGACCCCGCATTATGTGACCCAGATAGACCATCTTTCTCCTTTTCACTTCTTTCATCACCTCAAACTCTTTGTTCATCCTGATAAGCATTAATTAATACCTCTGCAAAATCAATCCAACTCAATGTCGCCTCTATATGACATCCAAGTCTGATGGTAGCTTAAATGAAGAGAAGTTTTGTAAATAGCGACATCTAGAGTAGGTCAATGAAGCTCGGACGCTACGCAAAGAAGACTTTGAAAAAACTAAAGGCAATGATGAATATGAGTGCCTGACTTTTGATCTTCAAAAAATTGCTTTTACCACGAACACCGACAAATATTGTGTTCTGTAAACGGCAGCTCTGGGTATCTAATGCTATATATACTATATAAGGTCTCAGCGGTAAAGGAGACCGCGGATATTATTACCAAATGCCCCAAACAATTACCTCGGGAATCAGACAATAAATATAAAAAAAATTCACATCTCTAGTGCCTTTGTGTCCAAATAGTAAACTAATCTCGGAAAAGAAACTGAAACGCAATTCTACATCCTAAATCAGATAAACGTAAAGTTGAAGATGTATATGGATTCGACATGAAGGAGCTAGATTTCAATGTTGAAACAGAGTAGAGGTAATTATAGTTAGTAGGTATTAAGTTATCGAATTTTATATGTTTTCTTTATTATTCTTTAATATCATAATTTGTTGGTACGTTCTATTGCTTTTTTTCATTTTGCAAAATCCTACTAAGGCACAAAATTTTGGTTATTTTTGAAGATAAAAGATAAAAACCTGTTCCAATTGAAAATAAGATGATACTTGTACTATTGCTACAATTTTTTTTGTGTTTAGTTTTGTATGCTCATTTAGAAAAAAGTTCATTTACGAATATCTCAATATTAATGCTTTCCTTTTTAGGTTTTAGTCTAGCCGAATACATATAAAAGTAAAATCCGTAGAATTATTACTTACGTTTAGATCAAGTACTGACCCCTCAATGATAATTTATTTGGTACTAGTTTTTTGCAATTTTGGAAACTAATAATTTTGCAAAACAATTGAAATAAATTAAAACATTTATCGTTATCCTAAAATTTTCTTTGTTTATTTAGGTGCGTATAATCTTATTTAATTACACTATGAAAAAACAATGATAATAATAATAATAATAATTACAAACATCGATGGGATTGATTTCCCAAATTCATAATTTGTAACAACTTCAAATTTCACAATTTAATTCTAATATTGTACCTACTTTTTTCGTTTCATTTTGTTGTTTTAATAAATGTATTATAATAAAAATGTCGAATTAGTTCATGTCTCATATCTATCATTAAAAATTATGAACACTACTTTAAAACTCGGTCCGCCAAGTTTGGCCCTCAACATGTCAAAGGTTGTACATACCTACCTTGAACAATTAAAATGGATTCTGATAATGTGTCCATAACGATTACTTTTTTCACATTAACGTTCTGTACATTATTATAATTTGTCATTTTTTTATCCCAACGGCTTTCGGTTTAGCTGTGCGGTCGTCGGCACAGAATCACGATGGGCGACATATCCGTCAACCGAACATATCAATCTGTATCGAAACTTCCAAATCGAATGACGGGGATTTTTTCGGTTCACATAGGCTCGTTACGAATGGCACCAAAAAATGATGTCCCGAAGCGTCGATTTGATTTCTCGGAACACCAACGCACGTGACAATCATTTTTATGGCTAAGTATTTTGATTGGTGTCCGTTTTAAACCTGGTCGTGTCCGTTTTGGCGAAATCAATTAATTAAAAGATTCTGCGCCGACCACGACACTGCTTTTGGTGCGACTGCATTTCCCCGATAATAGATTCGCGGTTAATCGTTCTTGTTCGGGCAGGCAAAAAAAATGACTACTTTATTAGGCACAACTAAGTCGGCATAGTTCATTTTGCGACAGTCCGCACTTTAAAGAGGAATGAAACTCCTGCTAGACCATCAGAGTTCATGCATAACACGATTGTGCCTAAGGGTTGATTTAAATTTTCCCTGGTTTCTTTACTTGAAGCCCAATAAGTTATTAGATTTTTTTCATTAGATTCTTATCAATAGTTATAGTTTTATTTAAGTGGCAGAACTCCTCATGAAAGTTGCTGTGGAGGTCACTTTGCTTTTTGATTGAAGCTGATGTACAAGGTTAAACAACATTCTCATCAAAATTTACATTTATACTTTATACCTTTTTGAAAAAACTTGTACCCTTTTTAAGACCAACCAACTGTAATCATTTGTTTTATAAATAAATATGCAATGGGGTGTTATTATCACTACTAGCTTACCGGTACTCCTCTAACACTCTGCAACCAACTAACATCAATATATCAAACTTATCACGTTGTGGAAGAAAATGGAATCCTAAAGGCCCAGGGATATCTCCAAAATTCTGGGAACTTAGCTACAATTGTTATTACTTTGGAGCATTATCTTTCCAACAAACGACAATGCTCTGTGATTTAATTATAGCATAATCACTCATGTATTCAGATTGGAAAATTAAAAAAAAAACTCCGACATTTTTTTGTATGGTTGACGGCATCCAAAAATATTTACAATTTTCATCTGCGTCAATATAAAACACATCGATCATCCTCCAAGAGACGGTAATATTTCGTTACAAGAGCAGGAACTTATCTACAGCGTTTAAAATAAACAATGCGTTAAAGCAATTTATAATAAAAGGAAAGGATCGAATAGGTTATATATCAGGAGTATATTCTTTGAGCTGTTGAGATTGAAATGCAATTTATATACCGCATGTCCCCCTATCTCAGTTTGGTGAAAAGTACAAGGACACTGATGTCGGAAAAGGAGATGCAGTCAAACTGCTTAAAGAGAGTCTCGAAACGTCTCCTACTAGAGCCTCAAAAATAATAAGCAATTTGAATATACAGAAATCACAACCAATACCATACACAAGGAAAGAAGCACTTAGCTTGATAATTGAGACTAAGTTATCAAAAAGTTACTATTTAACCATCAGAAGAGAAGGAAAAAAAGAAACTTTGATGTTTATCCTTCACAAAAAAAAAACAGGCAAAATTATGCCGTTATTCATGTCCTAATATTTTGGTAACAAAGTTATCTGCAAAAATGAAGTTATAAGGGCTTTTGGACCATACTGTTTCCCGAATCATTTTATCTCAATCAAAAGTTTTCCAAAATACATCTGGACCTCTTGACTAAAATTTTAATCACAAAATTGGGATGTAACGGTAGCACAAATCACAGTGAATACAAGCAGTTTATTGAAACTGAGAATGCTCCGAATACAAATATTTCTGGCAGAATCCTAGACCATCGTCAAAGAGGTATTGTAGGACACTTCACTTTTCGTTTTTGTGAAAGAAACCACTGCTTTCACATTACAAGCAGCAGCCTCTGTTAAAAAAGAAGTTGATGAACTAAAACCTACAGAGATGAGTCACAACGGTCAATTTTTATCCATCAAACAACAAATGAATATGGCGATGATTGACGGACTGTAGTGTTATGACAGAGACATCTTCAAGTCAAGCCTGCAACATTTTTTACACATGTTTTAATGCTCATAAGCTAATAAGCCTTCCAGTCTTATTCTCCCTCCTGTATAATTTTTTGATGGTGTTTCATTCCATACCAAATATCGTTTCTGTCTCACGCTAGTACATTTTATAAACTTCTAAGCAAACAATATTTTTATCTTTTTGATTAAAATTGTCATTCCGGAGCCCACTGTGCGATAGGAACATCAAATGCCGATTCCTAAGAATGTCAGGACACTCCTACGATCCAATCAATTAGACTAATAACGATCCGCGGATATTCACACACAATTACGGTTTCTCTCCGATAATTACGTTTCACCTATGCTACCATAATAAGTCCAATAATATCCCGCAGCGCCCACGAACACCTGTCGAAACTTCCTCGTGTCAAAACGAAAAGGTCAAATAAAATTAAGGAATCGTCTTCGCAACGATCGTTCCGCTGCAATCATCCTTAGATATCAACAGTACATTGTTTTGCCCGGTTATTTTCTCGCTTCTGAACAATAACAGGCCTCGCGATTCAAAAATTTGCATCG